CTTTCTTTCTTCATTTTTTTTTTTTTTTTGAGACACAGTTTCTCTGTGTAGCCATGACTGTCCTGGCACTCAGTTTGTGGACCAGGCTGGCCTTGAACTCAGAGATCCTCCTGCCTCTGCCTCCGAAGTGCTGGGATTAAAGTGCACCACCACTTCTCAGCTAGAAGTGGTTTTTTGACCCCAGGTTTGGCTAGGCCCCTATAACCCTTGTACTTTCAGACTAGTGCTCACAATAGGCTCCCTCAGAGGTCAGAACCCGGAGGAGGACATATCCCCAGGACTGAGCACTGTCCCAGGCACTGTGATAGGTGGTCAGTAAATATTTGCTGACAGGGACACTTAGAAGGGATGCTATGAGACAGGGGCGTGGCTGTGAGTGGATGCTGTGGGGTGGAGCCCAGCCTGTATTGGTCCACAGTGTCAGCAAATCAAGACTGGCCAAGTGGACCAGAACAAACAGAACTGAGGTGGTAGTGCAGATATGTAACCTCAACACTTGGGAGGCTGAGGCAGGAGGATAGCTCTGAGGTCAGACCAGCCTTGGCTCCAGAGTAAGATCCTATTTCAGACAAGAAACACCAAGTAAAGGTCTCCGGAAACTTCCTGTTCCAAATGCAGTGAGCTGTTATCCCAGTCTGTCCTTCAGCTGTTCCTCCTTATTCCAGGCTCCAGCTGGCATTTTTATGTCCTTTCCTTTTTTATTCAGTGTGAAGATTCAGCATGAATCTTAGAAGGTTTTATTAATAAAAACAAACCCAAGGCCAGTTATTGGGGTGGATGCTGGAAGATTAGAGAAGCAGAACAAGCCACAGCTACCTCACCTTGCCAATTCCTCAGCTGATCCTCTTTCCTCAGACTGGAAGCTTCTGTGTCCTCATCCAAATGGACCCAGCTGGACTGCTGCTAAAAGCCTAAAAGCTTAACCAGCACTGGTTCCTGGTCCTCACGCCTTATATACCATTTTGCCTCCTGTCATCATTCCTGGGATTAAAGGCGTGAGTCACCATGCCTGACTGTTTCCAGTGTGGCTTTAAACTCACAGAGATCCAGATGGATCTTTGCCTCCCAAGTGATAGGATTAAAGGTGTGTGTGCCACCATTTCCTGGTCTCTATATCTAGTGGTTGTTCTGTTCTCTGACCCCAGATAAGTTTATTAGGGTGCACAATATTTTGGGGAACATAATATCACAATTCAGTTCAAATTTTTCTAACCCTCCAAGTGTACATCAAAGCAAGCCAATCTCTATCTTTCCTTTTATTTTAAGCAATTTCATCTCAAGTCTGGGGAGTCCAAAGGGATGCACACTAGGGACACCTTTGCCGCCTGGCTCAGGACCCACACACAGGCAGGCACAGCGAGGGCTACTTTCGAGTAAGTATTCATGACCTGACCATAGTAAAAATACTGTCGTCTAACAAAAAAGGGGGCTGGCCTAGTTAGAAATAACCAACATTCCACAGAGCCCTGTCAACCCCACCAGGAAGGATCAACAAAACAGCAAGCTAAGAGAAACGCAGAGGATGTCAATCTACTTTTTGTGGTTTTATATTTTCACCTGATTTCTATCAAACAAATTAAGATTCCTTGGGGACTGTGGTGGCGCACGCCTTTAGTCCCAGCACTTGGGAGGCAGAGGCAGGTGGATTTCTGAGTTTGAGGCCAACCTGGTCTACAGAGTGAGATCCAGGACAGCCAGGGCTATAAAGAAACCCAAAAAAATTTAAGGTTCCTGTTTTTCTTTTTTTCTGGGGCTCTTTGAGAAGATAGGGATGTGACCTTGTTTGGGAAAATGAAGGGGTTTTCCATGGTGTCCCCCTGGACTGCAAAAGTCCTTTATCCAAGAAGTGGTAATAACATAAAATATTAGCACTGAGTTATTTTGAGTTATTTTCTTCCACTTTTTGAGATTACAATGTAATTACATCATTTCTCCTTTCCATTTCCTTCCTCTAAATCCCCCACACCCCTCCTCGCTCTCTTTTTCAGTGATTGTTGTTACATACATATATGTATTCATAGATTTCCTAAATACACAAAGACAACCTGCTCAGTCTCTATAATGTTACTTGCATATGTGTTTTCGGGGCTGACCATTTGGTATTGGATAACCAATTGGTGTGCTCTACCCTGGGAAAGACTAGTGCTCCTTGCGCTGGTTTGGAAGAAAATGACCCCCAAAGGGAGTGGCACTACTAGGAGGTGTGGCCTAAAGGTTGGAGGAAGTGTGTCTCAGTGGGAGCGGGCCTTGAGGTCTCCTTTGCTCAAGCTTCACTCAATGAGAAGGTCACTCGACTTCCTGTTGCCTTCCTATGAAGGGTAAGAACTCTTAGCACCATGTCTGCCTGCATGCCGCCATGATGATAACAGACTGAAACTGTAAGCTGTCGCCACAATTGAATGTTGTCCTTTATAGGAGTTGCTGTGATCATGGTGTCTCTTCACAGCAATGAAAACCGTAACTAAGACGTTCCTGTTCTCAGCATTGTTACTGTTCTTTGGTAGGGTTGAGGCCTCCCTCATGAGTTTCCCTCCATCCACGGTAGCCTGTCTATTGGTGTCAGCCTTGTTCAGGTTGTGTTTAGGCAGTCCTATTGAGGAGCGTGGAACAGTAAGGAATAGTAAGGATGTCTGGAAAAAGTCATAAGGAATCATACTAATATTTATATATTAATACATTAAATTTCTAGCCAAATTAAATATCTAGCCAAAAATACCTATAAATACATGTACATTTTTGTTTACATATACACCCATAGTTTAAATGAAAATGTCTCAATTGAGCTACAGTGCTCCGTCCAGGAGCCAGAGACCATGTAACAAACCCCAGCACCGTGAGTGAACAGCCCTCTCCTGAGTTAGTCAGTGTTGTCCCAGAAACTCCCAGAACCTTACAGCCTATGGATGTTGCCCTTGCTTGCTCTCCAGAGGTGGAAGGTAAGTCCCTCTTGCTGAAGACACGGGTCCCAGAGGCCCTGGAGATCCAATATCCTCTTCTGGCCTCCACAGGACACAATATGGATGGGGACATACATTCACACAAACACCCTGCACGTTGTCGGCTGTGTGAACTTAGGTTGGAGGCTTGTCCTCGCTGCTGGCGGTGCCATAGCCGGAACACGTGGTCCTGGTCTCCAGCCAGCCAGATTCTTCATTTGCTTTTATTTTTCTGAGACAGGGTCTTACTATGTATCCTTGGCCGGCTGAAACTTGATATTTAGACCAGGTGGGCCTCAAATTCAGAGATCTAACCCCCAATGCTGGGATTAAAGGCACGTGCCACTGCACCTGGCAAATATCTCCCCAATGTTTGATGCCCCGCAATTTCCGCCTTTGGTGCAGACCCTGAGTTTCACACCTGCTTTCTGGGAGTCTTCTCTTGTGTTTCTAGCAGGCATGTGGAATGTAACATACATTCAAATGAACTTTTTTTTCTGGTCTTTTTACTTTAAACCTTTATTTATTTATTTAAAATGTATGTGCATGAGTACAGGCTCCCATGCCACAGTCAGTGTGAGCGAAGAGGTCAGCAGAAAACTTGTAGCAGTCAGTTTCTCTCCTTCCGCCCTGTGGGCTCTGGGGATCGGACTCAGGCTGTCAGACTTGCAGGCAGCTTTTCCCACCCATCCGTCTCACAGACCCTCCACCTTGTTATGTGACACAGGAGCGCTCACTGACCCTAGAGCTCACTCACTCTGCTAGGCTGCCTGGCTAGCCCCTCCCCTTCCTTCCCCTTCCCTCCCCTCCCTCCCTTCCCCTCCCCTCCCCCCTCCTCTCTCCTCCCCTCCCCTCCCCTCCCCTCCTCTCCCCTCCCCTCCCCTCCCCTCTATGCTATACCCCTCCCTTCTTGCACATCCCTTTTGGGGTTTCCCAGAACATTCCAAGCCTGATCCATTTTAGGAGATGTGAATTGGAGTTGTCTTCCTCTGGAATTCCCTTCTTCCAAATACCCCGTGTTGGCTCCCTCCTCAGGTGTCTTCTCAGGGCTGCCTGTAGGAATGGGCATTTCCTGCCTGCTTCACTGCTCCTCAGGACCTACGGTGTGTGTTTGTCTAGAATCTCTCAGAAGTCACGTCCAGAAGGACAGGTCAGGGTGCCACCAGCTTAGGTCTAGGAGTTCATCCCACAGAAAAAACAATGTCCAAGGGACAATTGTCGGGGATGCAAATTAGAATTTGTGGAAAGAAATTGTCTGCAAAGACTGACTAACTGATTACCACTTATGTGATTGGGGCTGGCTGGGTGGCTCAGTGGTTAAGAGCACTGGCTGATCCTCCCGCAGACTGGCTTGATTTCCAGCACCATGAGGCTCGGCAGCATAGATCACTCTTAACTGCAGCTCCAGGGGATCTGACTCCCTCTTCTGGCCGCCTCGGGCACTGCATATAAGTGGTGTGTGGACATAAAAGCAGGCAAAACACATAAAATCTGGAGGGCAAAAAGGGTAGCTCACCTCTGTAATTCTGGCACTAAAGGAAGGAAAGGAGGGAGGAAGGAGGGAAGGAAGGAGGGAGGGAGGGAGGGAGGGGGAGGGAAGGAAGGGCTGCAGTGATGTGGGGAGGTGGAATTGTTTGCCCCTTAAACGCCTACCTCTGTGTCGGAACTAACATCCTGTGAGTAACAGATAAAAACCTTCTGGAATTATTAACTTAGCAGACCACTAGCTTCCACCAGCCCCAAAGCTAAGGATGTCATCAGATAGCATCTTGGATCTATAGAGAAGCTTCCCTGATCCTGCTTTACCTGCCTCTCCAACGTACCCGTCCATGTATTTTTGGTTTTTTGGTTTTTTTGCTTGTTTGTTTGTTTTGGTTTTTCGAGACAAGGTTTCTCTTTGTAGCTTTGTGCCTTTCCTGGAGCTCACTCTGTAGCCCAGGTTGGCCTCGAACTCACAGAGATCCGCCTGCCTCTGCCTCCCGAGTGCTGGGATTAAAGGCGGGCGCCGCCGCCGCCGCCGCCGCCGCCGCCGCCGCCGCCGCCGCCGCCGCCGCCACCTGACCATTTTTTTTAAACCCCATCCATATATTTTTTAATTGCCTCAATTTGACTTCTTCGTCCTCTTACTACTAATGTCATGAATCTGCTTCCACTGGGAACGTGGAATCTGAGGTAAACTAGCTCCATGTTTCTCAAGCCTCAGCCACTCAAATTCAGCTCTAGAACAGACTGTCTCTTACTCTCTTTGAGGTGAGAACTGTGATTTTTTTTTTTTTCCTTCTTCTTCTGGAGACATGAAGAAAGAAACTTTCCTCCAGTGGCCAGGGGATGGCCAAGCTTTGCTTACAGATCAGGAGTCCCAGATTCGGAAGGTGCAACAGGCAGGCAGGGAAACGGGAGGCGTTTCATGTTCTTTCTGGGGTGGAAGGATTCAGGGCAGGAGGGCCGCCTCTTCCGGCCCCTTCTGGTCTGGTGGTCTGGCCATGAGGCTGGTAAGCGTCTTTAGCCTTGGAGAGAGAGGCGAGGGCGAGGCAAGTCCAGGTCAAGGTGACCCTGTGTGTATAGTTCCAGACAAGACTTTGCTCACTGATCAATGGGTCTAAAGCAGCCGAATAGACTATCCTAAAGGTGGAGTCAACAAGAGACAGACCTGATACTTAGACAGAGGCCAGGTCCTTCCATCCCCTTCCACTCCCCAGCAGGGAGGTGTTTCTGGCGGAAGTAGCCTTCGAGTCCCTGAAAACTGACCTGGTTGTCACAGCAGTCGTCACAGCGGAGATGTTCACTACAGCAGAGCTAAGAGATGCTTTGCCTGGCTGTGAGACCTCTAAAATTAGTAATTAAAAATCTACTTTTGGGCTGGAGAGATGGCTCAGAGGTTAAGAGCACTGGCTGTTCTTCCTGAGGTCCTGAGTTCAATTCCCAGCAACCACATGGTGGCTCACAAACCATCTGTAATGAGATCTGGTGCCCTCATCTGGCCTGAAGGGACACATGCAAGCAGAACACTGTATACATAAATAAATAAATAAATCTTTTAAAAAAACCCATAGCTTTAAAAAAAAAAATCTACCTTTAGATTTATTTATTTTATTTTTTATATGTATGGGTACTTTGCCTGCATGTATGTATATAGCATGAATTCTAATTGGTGTTAATTATGAAAACCCAGGTAAATGCTGAGAGATCAGAGAAGTAAAGGAGCAGCCACCGTCACCTCTTACCTCCATGACTCCTCTGGTGGAAAAGAGGCTGAGTTCCTGTCTCCGCCCACCTTATCATGTCCTGTCTCCTGTCTATCCAGACCTCCAGACCTCTATGGTTAACTAATGGCTAGCTCCACCCTCCGGTCTTCAGGCAAGCTTTACTTGTTAGAGCACAAACAAAATATCACCACATATGTATATGGACCACATGCATGTCTGGTACCTGTGGAGGTCAGAAGAGGGTGTCAGATGCCCTGGAACTGGAGTTATGGATGGTTGTGAGCCACCATGTGGGTGCTGGGACTCGAACCAGGGTCCTCTCCAAGGGCAGTGGTTACAGCAAGATGGGGGAAGCTTTTCCACTGAGCCATCTCTCCTGCACCCTCCCCCCCCAATTAGTGATTTCTTAAGTCATCTGAAACCACATGAAGCGGGAGGTTTACTTGGTAACAAGACTGTATTTGGTTCGTTATCATATTTCTATGCCTGACACATGGTTGGTACTGGCTGAATGTCTGTGTTATAAAAGAACAAATTCATAATGTGGTAAATCTTCCCACTTTCATTGTTGTTCTGTTTTGTTTTTTGAGACAAGGTCTCGATATATACGTCTGGCTGTCCTGGAACTCACTATGTAGACCAGGCTGGCCTTGGACTCACAGAAACCTGCCTGCTTCCTCAGTGCTGAGATTAAAAGCTTGTGCCACTATGCCTGGCTAAATGTCCTCATTTCAAAGGGAAGAACTGAGGAAAGTTGCCAAGGGCACACAGGAAATGAGTGACAATTGTCTTCAGGACAGTTTGGCCAACTCGGTGCCTGGGCATTACCAAGACCCAGGCATGATTGCAACTGGCATAAGATATGTTCTCTTATGAAAACAGAATACCAGAGCCCTACGTGGTTCCTCATAGCTATAACCCTAAAACCTGGGAGGCTGAGACAGGAGGATGTCTACAGGTTTGAGGCCAGTCTGAACTACGCAGGAGTTCCAGGACAGCCTGGGCTACAGAGTTAGACTCTGTCTCAAAAAAACCACCAGACAAAAATCAAGTGCCAGGAACACTACACTGCAGTTTCTTCCTCTTCCTCCTCCTCCTCTTCTTTTGGCTTTTTGAGACAGGGTTTCTCTGTTTAGATCCACCTGCCTTTGTCCCCTGAGTGCTGGGATTAAAGGCGTGCACCACTACCACCCGGCCAGTTTCTTCATTTTTGACTTGAGAACTCACGGCAGTTTCTCTTCTGAGGCCAGGCCCAGGAAACTGGGGGTCAGGCAGAGACCTAGTGACTCGCCAGTGCTTTCTCAGGCTTGGGTGTGTATCTGTGAATGTGTGTTCTTGTTTATGTCAACTCTGTCAGCAGCTGCTTCCTGTGGATGGTAAATTATAAATGACGCTTCTGTGGTTTTTGCTGGGCTTGTTTGGGGCGTGGTTCTGAAGATGGAAGTCCTTCAGCATAGTGAGGATCTCTGAGGACATGTCTCTGGTCATTTTCTTCATCCGTTTCCTCAGTTCTCTCTCACTAGCACATTTCTGCGTTGGCTCCTGGACCAACCTGCTGTGTCTCTGTAGAGCTGATGGTGTAGTTGTCAGAGGACACATTTCTGGAATCAATTCTCTCCTTCCACTGTGGAATCCTGGGGTAGAACTCAGGTTTTGAGGCCTTTGTGACTTCCCGGCTCAAGCCTTAAGAGGTTGCGCCACCTCTGCACTCACATTTCCTTTCTGCTAGGTAGAACCCCATACAACAGATTCAGGCATACACATCGGGTGCCACTGCAAGATGAAATTTTTAGGCCTGTGTGGCAGCAGGAAGGTCCAGCCTCTGATGGACTGAACCTTGAACAGCCGTTCAAAGAGTATATATTGAGGAAAGCATCACACCCCAGCCACTTTGGTCCTTCCTGTGGCCATTTGCAGTACCCAGTAATCCAGGGGCTCCAGGCGTGCAGGGGACTAAAGTCATGTGAAGGCTGGAAAGCTGCCTCAGAAAACAACTCTATAAATCACAGAAAACAATCACTGATTTCCACCAAGATTTCTTCAAGGTCAAAGTACTTCTAGAAAACAACTATTCTGCTCTAATGTTTACTGTAGAGGGGATCTAAAACAGCTTGACCACACAGCTGCCATGACAGGCTTAGAGGCCCAGACACAGCTTCTGTGACAGGCAACACCCAGGAAAAGCCATAAACTGACCCCACCCAGAGAGGGCCTACATCTAAGGGGAAGTACCTGACATCCCAAACATTCTAACCATTAGATACGGTGACCTGATGTCCCTGAGTCTAGCACACACTTATTTTTGTTTTACAGATACCCCTAGACAAATGTCAGCTAATCAGGGTCTGGAACCCTGGAAGTCCCCTCACCCCAACCTCTGCTATGATAAAAATTCTACCTTGCTTGAGCTCAGGGCTCTCAGCTCTCACTGCTGCATGGGACAGAGAGACCAAGCCCCGGAGCTTGAAAATAAAGGCTCTTTGTTTTTACATACAGGATTCGGTCTCTATGGTGGTCTTTTGGGGTCCCCACGATCTGGGCATAACATTTACCTTGGATACAGTGGTTCTGCTGGATTCCTACAGCACATGCAGAGGACAACAGTGCCCTGTTGGGTAGGAGAGACATGACCACAGACTGGAGCCCATGAATGACGCCAGGAGCCGCCTCCTTGCCACCACTCAATGTCCCATTAAGAGAAGTAATCTGATGCCGGGCGGGGGGTGGCCCAGGCCTTTAATCCAACATTCTTTTTTTTTTTTTTTTCCACTTATAAACTGTATGGCCGTGGCAGGCTTCTTGCTAACTGTTCATTTATCTTAAATTAACCCATTTTTATAAATCTATACCTTGCCACGTGGCTGGTGGCTTACCAGAGTCTTTACATGCTCTTGTCCTGGCGGTGGCTGCAGTATCTCTAATCCAACACTCTTGAGGCTGGAGCTGGCCTGTGAGTTTGAGGCCAGTCTGGTCTGTACAACAAGTTCCAGGAGAGCCAGAGCTACACAGAGAGATGATGTGTCTCCCCACCCCCACCCCCGAAAAAAAACAAGCAAACCAGAGTGTGTATGGGGGAGGGGTCATCTGATTTGTTCTCGAGGTCACGACCTTATTGGAGCTTTAATAAGTCCTGACAGCACAGGTTTATCTGAGATGATGTAGTCTCACCTCCTTCTCTCTCTGGTTTTTGTTTGTTTGTTTGTTTGGTTGGTTTGGTTTTTGTTTTTTCTCAGGACAGAGTTTCTCTGTATAGTCCTGGCTGTTTGGAATTCACTCTGTGGATCAAGCTGGCCGTGAACTCAGAGATCCGCCTGCCTCTGCCTCCTGAGTGCTGGGATTAAAGGCATCTACCACCACCACCTGGATTTCTCATTTTTATCTATCTACCTGTCTATCAATCATCTATCTATCATCTATCTATCTATCTATCTATCTATCTATCTATCTATCTATCTATCTATCTATCTATCTATCTATCTTGTCTTCCATTTCCACCTTTGTGTGTGTGTGGTTCTATATCAATATAGTTCCTTGACTTTTTGTGTCAACATTTTAGTAATTCAGTATCATGTTTTTATTCCCCCCTCCCCTTTTTTTTTTGGTTTTTCGAGACAGGGTTTCTCTGTGTAACTTTGGAGCCTGTCCTGAAACTAACTCTGTAGCCCAGGCTGGCCAAGGAACTCACGGAGATCCGCCTGCCTCTGCCTCCTGAGTGCTGGGATTAAAGTCGTGGGCCACCACCGCCCAGCTTTTTTTGGTTTTCAAGACAGGTTTTCTCTGTGGAACAGCTCTGGCTGTCCTGGAACTTGACTTGTAGAACAGGCTGGCCTCCAATTTAGAGATCCACCTGCCTCTGCCTCCTAAGTTCTGGGCTTAAAGGCATGTGCCACCACCACCACCCAGCCATGTTTTTAATTTCTAACAGTTCAATCTAGTATTCTTTCTTTCTTTTTTTAAATTTTATTTACTTAGTGTATATGTGTGTGTGTGTGTGTGTGTGTGTGTACATACACTCTTATGTGCATGTGTGTGCCTAGGTGGGGACAGAGGTTGTGGTGGTTGGAATGAAATGGCCCTCATAGGCTCATATGTTTGAGTACTTTGTCTGCAGTTGGTAGAACTGTTTGGGAAGGCTTTGGAGGTGTGGCCTTGTTAGAGGAGATGTGTCACTGGGGATAGCCTTTGAAGTTTCCACTGTTTTTGTGCCTCCCCCCCTGTTTACCCCATACCTTCTGCCCCCCAACTCACCCCATACCTTCTGCCCCCCAACTCACCCCATACCTTCTGCCCCCCAACTCACCCCATACCTTCTGCCCCCCAACTCACCCCATGCCTTCTGAAGATCAAGATGTGAGATCTCAGCTGTTCCTGCTCTCATGCCTTTGCTCTGCTGCCATGGGTTCTAAATCTTCGAAGCCATATGCCCAGTCAAATGCTTTCTAAGTTTCCTTGGGCATGGTGTTTTGCCACAGCAACAGAAAAGTAACTAACACAGAAATAGGTACCAGGAGTGGGCTACCGAGACAGTCCGATCATGTGTTCTCATATTTCGTTGTTGTTGTTTTGAATGTGGGGAACTTTAGGTAGAACAGCAGTTCAACACTATGAGCAAAGTTCAATGAACTGTCTGAACAGGAGTGTGGAAGGCAGTGGAGCTGAGAACCATGTGGGCTGTGGAGACCCAGCTCAAGAGGTCTGAGAAAGGGACAATGTTAACAACTGGGCGGCTAGAGACCATTCTTGTGATATTTTGGCAAAGAATGTGGCTGCCTTCTACCCTTGTCCTAGGAATTTGCCTGCAGTTAATTGAAAAATAACGGACTAATTTCTTTGGTGGAGATTTCAAAACAGCCTAATCCTGACTCTGTCGCACGGGTGTTAGTGGTCACTTTTAAGCATGTCTGCAACAAAAAAGAGCGAGTGTGGCCAAAAGGAATAAAAAATGTGTAGTTTGATGAGAGCATCAGAGAATTCAACACTGGAGCCAAGGCTTGTGCTGAAAGTGATAAAGAGACTGTGGAGAGGCCTGATCTGAAGGGGAATAAAGGGAAGGTGGGGGCTGGGGGGTGGCAATGCACACCTTAATCCCAGCACTCGGGAGGCAGAGGCAGGTGGATCTCTGTGAGTTTGAGGCCAGCCTGGGCTACAGAGTGAGATCCAGAACAGCCAGAGATACACAGAGAAACCCTGTCTCCAAAAAAACAGCAACAAAAAAGAATTAAAAAAAAAAAAAAGGAAGGATATCCCCAGGCACCAGCTGAGTTTCCAAGTTGTAAAAGAAAAAGGCCTAAGAAATTTTCTGCTCTTAAAAAGTAGCCACAATGGAAAGTGATGAGAATGTGATGTAAGGGGTCAGACACCGCCCCAAGTGGGCGCTGAGCATAGCAGTGTTCATGTGGTTCTAAGTTTAGAGTCATGGAGAATACATGAGCAGGGAGCTGTAGGATCATACATGAGTAAGGGCTGTAAGATCATACATGAGTAAGGGCTGTAAGATCATACATCAGTAAGGGCTGTAGGATCATACATGAGTAAGGGCTGTAGGATCATACATGAGTAAGGGGCTGTAGGATCATACATGAGTAAGGGCTATAGGATCATACATGAGTAAGGGCTGTAGGATCATACATGAATAAGGGCTATAGGATCATCCTCCACAGTTAAGGAGGGGTGCTGAGGCCAGGCATGTGGCAGTGGAGTCCCTGAGAAGCCATTGTGTGAAGCTGTGAAAGCTGTGAAGCCTGGATTGCATCGGAGACCACAAGGTGTTAGAGATGCCAGAGTCATGGGCTGTCTGTCAAGGAGAGCTGCACCCAGGGAGTGGAACCAGCCCGAGAGAAGCATGTTTTAGGGAGTGAAGCTGAGCTATCTAAGCCCCTTGACTTCAAACACAGAATTATAGTCTGGAGTTTGCCCTGCTCAGTTTCAGTCTTGCTCAGGTTCAGTAGTTCCTCACCAAGGGTCCACTCCTCCCTTTTGTAGTGATGGTGTATACTCTGTGCCACTGTGTATTGGAAGTATGTAATGTGCTTTTTGATTTTACGGGGACTTACAGTTAGCAGATTGCTTTGAGTCTCAGAAGAGACCTTGGACTTTGGACTTTTAAACACCATTGAGACTGAAAGACCCATGGGGACTTTTGAAGTTGAATGCACTTTGCATTATGATGTGGCTGGCTACAAGCCTATGGGAGCCTGAGAGTGGAATGCAGTGGTTTGAATGAGAACGGCCCCCACGGGGCTTATATATTGGAATACTTGGTCCCCGTTCGTGGAACTGCTTAGGAAGGACAGGGTGTGGCCTTGGAGGAGGCGTGTCACAGGGGGCAGGCTTGGAGGTTTTGAAAGACTTGGGTCAATTCCAGTTCTGTCTCTGCCTCTTGCCTGAGGATCAAGCTCTGATCTCTGACTCCAGGCTTTCATTCTGCCACCATGGACTCTAACCCTCTGAAATGATACGCCCAATCAAATGCTTTCTTTGATAAGCTGCCTTGGTCATGGCGTTTTGTCACAGCAGCAGAAAAGTAACTACTGAAGCCAACCTTGAGTATTATTCCAGTGGCCACTCACCTTGCTTTTTAAAAATATAATATTTTTATTGATTCTTTTAAAATTTCATACATGTACACAAAGTATTTCTTAAAATATTTATTTTTATTTTATGTGTATGAGTGTTTGCCTGTATGTATGTCTACCATGTGCATGCAGTGCCCATGGTGGCCAGAAGAGGACAGGGTAGTCCCTGAAAAATGGAGCTACAAATGGATGGTTATTAGCTACCATGTAAGCACTGGGAATTGAACCCAGATCCTCTGGAGGAGCAGTAAGTACTCTTAACCACGGAGCCATCTCTTTAGCTTCCCATAAAGTATTTTGACTATATTTAACTTCATCCTTCCCCACCACCAGCTTCTCCAAGATCCACACTCATCCTCTCCCAACTTCGTGTCCTCATTTTAAAAAAACCCGCCGGGCGGTGGTGGCGCACGCCTTTAATCCCAGCACTTGGGAGGCAGAGCCAGGTGGATCTCTGTGAGTTCGAGGCCAGCCTGGGCTACCAAGTGAGCTCCAGGAAAGGCGCAAAGCTACACAGAGAAACTCTGTCTGGAAAAACCAAAAAAAAACAAAAAACAAAAAAAAAACAACCCACTGACTCCAATTTCTGTTGCCCATGTACTTGTGGGTGTGGGGCCATCCACGGATGTGTGGCCACCTTGTTTGTTGAGGCAGAGTCCCTCACTGGCTTGGAACTCACTGAGTGGGCTGGGCTGGCCGGAGGTTGCCTCCCGTTTCCACCTCCCCACTGCTGTGATTACAAGTACGCACCATGTCCTGCTTTTTTATGTGAGTTTCAGAGATAAAACTCACATCCTCATGCCTGTAAAGGGTCCAGGAGTATAGAAATATAAAATTGTAAACCTAAATTTTAACCCCCTTGCTCCTTATAGCCAACAACTGCCTGGACCAAAGTTAACTTTTTTGTTTTGTTTTGTTTTGTTTTTCAAGACAGGGTTTCTCTGTGTAGTTTTGGTTCCTGTCCTGGATTTCACTCTGTAGACCAGGCTGGCCTTGAACTCACAGAGATCTGCCTGCCTCTGTCTCCCGAGTGCTGGGATTAAAAGCATGTACCACCACCACCTGGCTCAAAGTTAACTTTTAATAAATGTTTCTACGTGACTTCTAGCATGCACCCTATGTCTGATGCTTTCTCTCTTACTATAAAAAGGCAGCCAGAACCGGCCCCCATTGCCACACACAGTCTCAGAATCCTGAACACTGGCTGTGGTCTCAGCCAGCTGATAAGCTTTTGTGCCCTGTGGTTATTTTTTTTTCCTTTGTTTTTTTCTTAAATAAAGTTTGCTGCTTCTGGTTTAATAGACTTTGGTGGTCTGCTCCCCATTATTGCATGACCCTGGACCCAACAAGTGCCTTACCTGCTCTACTGCCCCCGGCCCATAGCATCTGCTTTTACTATGGAATGAGCAACTTTCCAAACTATGGGAAGCCACCTCTCCTTTTAAAAGGGTTCCTATGAGGAGGAGAGAGGGATAAGAAACTTTTAGATAGAAGACTAGCAAAGAGGAGAAAGACAGAAACACAGGATAGCTTCAGGGGGACCTGGATCAAAACTTAACGACCCCTTCTGCCTCTTCAAAGGGGCTTTTTATAACAATGTCAAGGGGTGGGGCAAAAGACACTCCCCCTCGCCCCCCCCCCCCCCACACTGCATAGCCAAGTGCAGACCCTTCCAAACTCCTGGTAACCACGCCCGTGGTCAAATCATCCCCTTATGCAGCCCTGCTGGGCTGTGAGATGTCTTTCTGTATGCTGTGAATATGTGTTGCTCTGATTGGTTGATAAATAAAGCTGCATTGGCCTATGGCAAGGCAGCTTAGAGGCAGGCAAGAAATCCAAGCAGAGAAACAGAGAGAAGAAAGAAGAGGAGAGAGAGACACCAGCTGCAGCCCAAGGAGCAACAAGATGCCAGCAGACCGGTAACGCCACAGCCATGTGGCAGCATATAGATTAATAGGAATGCGTTAATTTAAGTTGTAAGAGCTAGCTAGCAAGAAGCCTGAGCCAATAGGCCATAGAATTGGTAATTAGCATAAGCCTCTGTATAATTATTTTATAAGTGGCTGCGGGACCAGGCGGGATACAGGAAAACTTCTGACTGCCCTGCTGGGTAAAGCAAGCTCAGATTCTCAGACCCTGAGTGAGTTCTCACTAGGAAACCTCTGTGGTCCCTACAACAAAGTTCTCAAAAAACATCAGATTTTTCTATTTTTCCCTTTATTTGACTTCTTCTGGTCTTTTTTTATATTATTTTTTTTAATGTACTAGGAAATAACTAGAAAATTCCATTTCTAGGAAGCCCACAGAAGGCGGCGGATAGACAAGAATGGAGGCGATGTCTCGGTATGTCTAAGCTCTTTATGTCCCTGCTGTGCCACCCACAATACATTCTGGGGCCAGTTCCTCTTGAGTTTCGGGATGTGGCTTTAATCATGCCTGCTGGGAGAAGACATCACTCTCTCATCCTATTCAAAGTGAAGAGAAACTTGGCAAGAAGTGTGTCTTCCTCTGTCTCAGGGGCTGGAGCTGGGGACTGTCGTGGGGGATGTGCTGCTGTGTCAGAGGCTTTTCTCACTGCGGTGACAAAATGCCAGACATAGTCAGCTTCGTCTGGGTGTAGTGATGCACATTTGCAGTCCATCCCAGCTCTTGGGAGGTGGAGCCAGAGGGCCCAGGAGTTCAAGGATGTGACCTCTGCAACACTGCAAGTCTGAGGCCAGCCTAGGTTATAGGAGACCTTGGTTCAAAGGGAAAAACAAAACAAAACAAACTCTTCAAAATGTAAAAGACAAAATATTTATTCGACTCATTGTTTTAGCCTGTGGTTTCTTGGTCTCGTTGCTTTGGGCCTGAGGCTAACTGTGGTGGATGTTATGGAGCAAAGGGTGGTCAGGGCAGAGTTTCACTCACAGTGGTCAGAAAACAGAAGGAGACCATGAGTCAACTATGGTGATATTTTATTTGTACTGTGTAGCTAGAGTTTTCCTGCCTGGCCCACAGTCAGGACAAATCTCTGTCACCTGCCAGTCCCACAGCCGCTCAGACCCAACCAAGCAAACACAGAGACTTATATTGCTTACAAACTGTATGGCCGTGGCAGACTTCTTGCTAACTGTTCTTATAGCTTAAATTAATCCATTTCCATAAATCTATACCTTGCCATGTGGCTCTTGGCTTACCGGCATCTTCACATGCTGCTTGTCATGGCTGCGGCTGGCAGTGTCTCTCTGCCTCAGCCTTCCACTTCCCAGAATTCTCCTCTTTCCTTGTCACGCCTATACTTCCTGCCTGGTCACTGGCCAATCAGTGTTTTATTTATACAGAATGATATTCACAGCAGTACTGAAATGTGATTTTATTTGTATATTAATAAATAAAGTTGCCTGGGGATCAGAGCTAATAGCAAGCCATCGCAGAAACTGGGTGGTGGTGGTGAACGCCTTTAATCCCAGCACTTGGGAGGCAGAGCTAGGCAGATATCTGTGAGTTTAAGGACACCACCAGCATGGAGACACACGCCTTTAATCTCAATACCAACCATGGAAGACCTGGAGGTCTGTACAGACAGGCAGTGATGAGGAGGTCATGTGGTTGGGTTTACAACCAATGAGAAGGCAGAACAGAAAGTCAAAATGTCTTCAAAGGACAGACACACAGGAAGTAGGTCTCTTTCTGAGGGAAAGGACAGCAGTGGCAGTGAAGGGTAAGAAAGGTGGTTTTAGTCTCAGCTCTCAGCTACTGCTCTGACCTCTTGGGCTTTTAACTCTGTAATTGGCTCTGTGTTTCTTATTTAATAAGACGGTTACATCCACAGTCACCAGAGACAGGGTACACATGTCCAAGAGAGCCGCCTAGGGACCTATTTCCTTCAATCAGGTGTCACTCCAGTGTCTGACAACTCGCAATAACGCCATCCAATTGGCTGCTTTCTTGTCGCTGTGACAGGAATCCTGGACAAAACAACTCAAGAAGGAAAGCATTTTGGCTCATGGTTCACTCCATCATGTCAGGGAAGGCATGGCAGAAAACCCGTTCCTGGCAGCAGGAGCGGAGGGCAAGACTGCTCCCATGGTGGCAGACTGGGAGGCAGCCAGCTGGGCCAGAGCTAGGGGCTGAGCTAAAACCTTCAATAGTTTCCCCTACTGACTACTTCCGCCATTTGGGCCTCCTGTCCTAAATATTCCACAGCCTCCCAAATCATCGTCACCATCTGGAGAACAATTTCCAAACACAAACCAGTGGGAGACTTCAGATTCAAACCTGTAACAAGCTCAAGTTTGGACTCCATCCACGAACTCACCCGTCAGAGCAGGGTCAGGAGACTGAGCTAACCCTTCAGTGCAGGGTCAGGAGACTGAGCTAACCCATCAGAGCAGGGTCAGGAGACTGAGCTAACCCTTCAGTGCAGGGTCAGGAGACTGAACTCATCTGTCAGAGCAGGGTCAGGAGACTGAACTCATCTGTCAGAGCAGGGTCAGGAGACTGAACAACTAACCAGTCAGTGCAGGGTCAGGAGACTGAGCTAACCCGTCAGAGCAGGGTCAGGAGACTGAGCTAACCCGTCAGTGCAGGATCAGGAGACTGAACAACTAACCAGTCAGAGCAGGGTCAGGAGACTGAACAACTAACCAGTCAGTGCAGGGTCATTGAGACTGAACAACTAACCAGTCAGAGCAGGGACAGGAGACTGAGCTAACCCGTCAGTGCAGGGTCATTGAGACTGAACAACTAACCAGTCAGAGCAGGGACAGGAGACTGAGCTAACCCGGCAGTGCAGGGACAGGAGACTGAGCTAACCCGTCAGTGCAGGGTCAGGAGACTGAAGAACTAACCAGTCAGAGCAGGGTCAGGAGACTGAGCTAACCCGTCAGTGCAGGGTCAGGAGACTGAAGAACTAACCAGTCAGAGCAGGGTCAGGAGACTGAGCTAACCCTTCAGTGCAAGGTCAGGAGACTGAACAACTAACCAGTCAGAGCAGGGTCAGGAGACTGAACAACTAACCCGTCAGTGCAGGGTCAGGAGACTGAGCTAACCAGTCAGTGCAGGGTCAGGAGACTGAGCTAACCAGTCAGTGCAGGGTCAGGAGGTACAGACCAACTGCATGTCAAGGACATCCCTGGCTGCAGACTACCCTTCCACACATAAGCCTTTTGGGTTGGTACACAAAGAATAAAAGATTAATCAAACTTCATCCTTCCTAGTGCTAAGGAGGGGCCAACATCCCAATGTGTATGGGGGTGCACACATCGGGAGTTCTGTTAGGGAGGAGAGAGACCGGAAGATGATGAGGTTGCCTTGTTTGGGGCTTTGGTTCACCTTACAGGGTTTCTTTGCTTTTAGGAGGTGGTGGGGTGGAGTCACTGGTTTTTGTTTTTTGAGATAGATCTTGTAATATAGACCAGGCTGGACCAATTACAGGCAAGTGCTAGAACTGACATTCCAAAGGAAGCCACTGGAAGGCTAACTGGGACCTTCACTTCTTTTAGACATTCTTGGATTTACCAAATTTATTCTTTTAGTTTTTGACTCCTTTTCCCTTACAGAACAATCCTGTGACTGGCAACTTTTCACCAGCCAAGCCATGTGTATCCAGATCCTGAGGAAAACAAGGTAATGCTTCTAGATTTGGAGGAACTGCTTGCTTAGCCTAGAAATCTCTATCAAATAACGGTGAGAATAAGGTAAAGGCACGTGTGAACACATTCCTTAGGATGCTCACCAACTTCTTAAGAAGTCGTGTTCTTAGGAAGTGCTTTGGGGGTGTGCTGCAGCCCAGCTGAAGGAGCATGCCTGAAAGAGGAAGGGGCGGAGTACAGGAGACGCATCTCATTCAGGGCATGAGCAATAACCGTCAGGACCGACATGACAGGTCAGGGATCCCAGCACCTGGAGAGCCGAGGGAATCCTCAGGCCAGACTGGGCCGTAGAGTGAGACCCCCACCTCAAAAAACAACAGCAACAACAAAACAAAACAAAACAAAAAACAAACATCTTAATAAATAAGAAACACAGAACCAATGTAAAAGAGAAAGCCGAGAGGTCAGAGCTCAGAGCTAAAATCTCACCCTTCCTCCTGCGTGCTCCTAGCTTCCCGAAAGAGACCTATTTCCTATGTGAAAGTCTTTTCATAGTCTTTTGTTCTGCCTTCTCATTGGTTGTAAACCCAAACACGTGACTGCCTCGTCACTGTCTGTAAGTACAGCCCCCCCAGGTCTTAAAGGCGTATGTCTCCAATGCTGGCTGTATCCCTGAACACACAGAGATCTACCTAGCTCTTCTACCAAGTGCTGGGATTAAAGGCGTGTGCTGCTGCTGCTGCTGCTGCTGCTGCTGCTGCTGCCGCTGCCGCCGCTGCCGCCGCCGCCGCCGCCGCCACCACCACCACCACCACCACCACCACCACAACAACAACAACAACACCACGCTCTTGCTATGGCTCTAATAGCTCTGACCCCCGGGCAACTTTATTTACTAACATACAATCAAAATCACATTTCAGTACAATTAGAATACCACCACACACTTCTTTGTGTTTTGTCTAACTGGTGGACAAAGGCATGGAAGAGGCGTGTTAGCCTAAACCTCCGTTTGTATCCCAGAATTTATTGTTCAGCATGAATTTTCTTTTTTTTTAAGATTGATTTTTATTGTTTAAAATGCAGTGTGTTTGTGTTGTACACACCTGTGTAAGGGAATGTGCACACGAGTGCTGGTGTTCACCAGAGGCTAGAGGCATGGAATTCCCCTCCCCGGGGGGGGGGGGGGAGGGGGGCTAGAGTTACAGTCAGAGTTACCTAAAGCCACCTGGCATGGTGGTAGGAACTGAACCTGAGTACCCTGAATAGAAGTTCTACCTGCTAAAGCCATCTCTAGCTCCCAGGAGGAGTTTTGATGCACGTAAGAAGGAACGTGAAACACAAGACTGCTCAAAGTGATGATGACATTAAGAATGTGCTCAGTTCTGAGAATAAAGTTTATAATTTAAAAGAAAAAACAAGTCAGAGGAGATGGCTTAGTTGTTAAATTGCTACATGTGCAAGCATGACGACCCCAGTTCAATCCCCAGATCCCAGCTAAGAAAAATCAATCAAGGAGGCTGGAGAGATGCCTGGCTGGTTAAGAGCACTTGGGCCGGAGTTCAGCTTTTAGCACCCACATTGAGTGCCTCACAACTGCCTAGAACTTGAAATCCAAGGGATCTTATGTCTTCTTCTTCTTCTTCTTCTCCTCCTCCTCCTCCTCCTCCTTCTTCTTCTTCTTGTTTTTCAAAACAGGATTTCTCTCTGTAGCTCTGGCTGTCCTGGAACTCTCTCTGTAGACCAGGCTGGCCTCAAACTCACAGAGATCTGCCTGGTTCTGTCTCCCGAGTGCTGGGATTAAAGGCGTGCACCACCACCGCCTGGCCTTTGTGCCCTTTTCTGCCCTCCACAGACACCTGTACTCAAGTGGCACACATACACACACACAGATACACACATACAAACAGACAGATGCAGATGTACACATACAGACACACAAAGATAGACATACACACACAGATACAGATGGACACACACACAGATATGCACATACAAACAGACACACACAGATGTATACATATAGACACACACAGAGCTAGACATATAAACACAACACAGATGTACACACACAGACACACAGAGAGAGAGACATGGAGAGAAAGACATACACAGATAGACACACACACACACACTAGTTAAAGCAACCAGAAATTTAAGGAAAGAAGTGATTGGGCCCCAAAGGCTGAACCTGCAGGTTCCCTGAATTTGACAGGCCAGCAGAGACCGCTGCCCCCTCCCTTTCCTGAGCTGGAGATTCCATCAGGGAAAGACATCCTGAAGGATCCTGCCTGCCCTCAAGGCTTGTCCTCTCCTTGCCTCATTCTCCAGCATTAGACAGAATTCCCAGGTGTAAGGAAAGCCCCTGGGCTGTGAGCTGGGGCAGTGGGCACCTGAAGCACATAAGGCCGTATCCTCAGTGGAGACACTCACCCCTGCACAGGGGCTACTCAAGCTGACCAGCTGCAGGGACCCTGGATGCCGAACCTCAACCAGGAAAAATGCTTTGTGAGTTTGGTTTTTGTTTGAAACAGGATCTCACTATGTAGCCCTTCCTGCCCTGGAACTTGCTATGTAGACCAGGAAGATTTTTTGTTTTGGGTTTGTTTGGTTTTGGTTTTTTTGAGACAGGGTTTCTCTGTGTAACAGCCCTGGCTGTCCTGGACTTTTCTTTGTAGACCAGGCTGGCCTCGAACTCACAGAGATCCACCTACCTCTGCCTCCCAAGTGCTGGGATTAAAGGCGTGCGCCACCACACCTGCTCTGGTATTTATGCAAACAGAAACTTCATAGATCAGTTTTCCTTTCATGGACTATGAGCAACTAGAAAGTAGATTTCTGAGAGCTTTAGCATGTGGACAGATGCATGGAAATGCTCAACAGTATGCCACCAGATAGAGCTGGGATGGAGTCCTGGTTCGGTTTCTGTTGCTGTGATAAACCCCAGGACCAAAACCACGTGGGGAGGAAAGGGTGTACTTCATCTCACATCTCTCAGGTCACACTCCATCACCGAAGGAAGTCAGGGCAGGAACTGAAGTAGAGGCCGTGGAGGAACGCTGCTCACTGGCTTGCTCCCCATGGCTTGCCCAGCCTGCTTTCTTCTAGAACTCAGGCTCACCTGCCCAGGGTACCACAGCCCACAGTGGGATGGGCCCTGCCATATCAGTCTTTACTTAAGAGATGCCTTAGGCAATCCGATAGATAGAGGCATTTTCTTAGCTGAGGTTCTCCTTCCCAGATAACTCTAGCTTGTGTCAAATTGACACAAAACCAACCAGGGACCCAAGGCCACGAGGTATTTGGAGGAGGCACATGGCCCTCTGCTGAGACAGAAGTGCAGATAGCTCTTGGGCACAGGATTCTTCCTGTAGGTTTACCGCTAACTGGATTGCAGGATCAAATGGTGTCCTGAGATATTTGATTACACTGTGTAAAGATCTGCCACTGTGATTGGGTTCATACAAAGACAAACGGCCAATAGCGAGGCAGGAGGTGTAGGCGGGACGTCCAGACAGCGCTCTGAGAAGAAGAAAGGGGGAGGAGCCTGCCTATGCAGAGGAAGGAGAACATTCAGGAGGGGAGGTAAAACCCAATAGCCACATGGCAACAGGCAGCTTAATAGAACTGGGTTAATTTAAGTTATAAGAGCTAGTTAGAAACAAGCTTAAACTAATGCTGAGCTTTTATAGTCAATAAGAAATCTCTGTGTCATTATTTGGGAGCTGGTGGGACAGAGAAACACTTGTTATAAAATGGTACTTGGTTTGCTTTTTTTTTTTTTTTTGATTGTTTGTTTGTTTTTATTTTTTGGACAAAGTCTCACTGTGGAGCCATGGCTGAACTAGAACTCTACATGTAGACTAAACCAGGCTGGCCTTGAACTTCCTCCTGCACCTGCTCCCCAGGGCTGGGTTACAGATGTGTGCCACTGTGCATGGCCTTCATTTCTAGAGTTCTGTCTGAGCATTATCCCCAGGCCTTTCAAATGATATTTTCCTTTTTCTAGGGATTAAACACGCTCACACAAGGCAAGTCTCTGCCACTCAGCTGTTTCCCAGCCCTGTGTTTTTAGCATTTTGAGGAACCTTCATACTATTTTCCATAATGGTTATACTAATTTGTATTCTCCACAAGAATGTATGAGCGTTCCCTTTTCCCTCATCCTCCCAAGCGTTTGTTTGTTTGTTTTGCTTTGTTATCACTTACTTTATAGTGCCAGGCTGGCCTCAAACTTGTGGGCAGTCAGCCCTCCTGCCTCAGCCTCTTGGGTGATAGGATTACAAGTATGAGCCACCAAATCTAATTCCATTTTTTTAAAAAGATTTTTATTATGTATACAGAAAAGGGTGCCAGATCTCATTACAGATGGTTGTGAGTCACCATGTGGTTGCTGGGAATTGAACTCAGGACCTCTGGAAGAATAGTCGGTGCTTTTAACCTCTGAGCCATCTCTCCAGCCCCTAATTCCATTTTTTAAAAAAATATGTTTTTTTATTTGTGTGTGTGTGTGTGTGTGTGTGTGTGTGTGTGTGTGTGTATTGTTGGGAAGCTCTGCTCAGGCCCCTCTCCTCCCATTCCAGACCCTGCCCCTCAGAAAGCCCGCCAAGGGTGGGCTCCTCCCCCAGAGATGCTCAAGACCACGCCTACAGGGTATTTAAGACATGGTCCCTGCACCTGCCATGGGATTTCTCTCCCGCTCTCTTCCCCTGAGAATCACCCAGGGTGCTTTGCTCATTAAACCTGGCCTTTTACTCAGCCTGATCCGATCTATAGCATTAGCGGAGAAACCCAATATCGGGTATGGAAACCTTTTACATAGATGTGTGTGCACGTGAATCAAAGCAAAAGTCAACTCTGAGTGTCCATTGATTCCCAGAATTTGTTCACCTCGTGTTAGACAGGGTCCCTCACCAGGACTAGGGCTTGGGTGATTAAATTAGACCGGTTGTGGGGTGAGCCTTAGGGATCCCCTCATCAGCTCCCCAGGGATTACAGGCATCACAACCACTCCAGACTTTTCTTGGGTCCTCACGCTTCCATGGCTCTTCTTGTCTGAGCGGAGCCATTTTTCAGCCATGCGCCTGTCTCCTTTAGAGAAATGTCCACTCAGATTGGCTGTTTGCTCTCTCCTCTTAAATAATTTGAGTTTCTTATATTCTGTTCATCTCTTCTATCTGATGGGTAGTTTCCTTTTTTTTTTGTTTTGTTTTTTGTTTTTTTAGGCAAGGTCTCACTTTGTAATGCAGACTTACATAGACCTCCCTACATAGCCCAGGCTGGTTTCAAAGTCTTGATCCTCCTGCCTCAGCCTCTAAACGCCGGATTACACATACATGCCACTGTGCTCAATATTTTCTTCACTTTCTTTGTTCTAAACCTTAAACATGGGGCTTCTGTAAGGGCTAAAGGTAACTGCAAACCCCACTTGACCAAGGACACATAACTTCCTGGAATGCTGGGGGCTGCTGTTCACGTGAGGGAACAAGTCACGTGTTTTACTTCAATAAACAAGGTTGTTTGCCCCAGCTACACAGGATGTGCTTGATGACATGTAGGTAGGAGATACTAGGCAGGAATTATGTCAGGCTGTATGCTTGCCCCCATTGGGTGAAGGCAGAAAGTGCATAGCCTTGTGGGTTTGACCTTTGTAGGCACCTGACTGACCTAATTCGGTGCCATTTTTTAGGAGTCCCAGGTTTTGACCTGGCCAGTGTCCATCTTCCTGGCCAGTACTAAATAAACCTTGTCTTAATTGGACAGCCCATGGATTTGGTCTTTCTCTTCATGATTTTCAGGTTTACCATTTCTTTCATGCTGGCACGTGCCCAGTGACACAGCCCCTGGGACCCTGTCTCACATTCTTTGGCAACTTGCTGTCGTGTGTAGAAACCTGTGATTTGTTCATGCTGGATTAGTGCCTGCTACATTGCTACATTCATTTACCCATCATAACTTTTTTTTGTGTGTGTGTGTGTGGAGTCTTTAAGTTTTTCTATAGACATCATGTCCTCGGCACGAAAAATATACTTCTTCCTTTCCCGTTTGGGTGCCCTTATTTCTTTCGCTTGCCTAACTGGTCTGGCTAGACCACCCAGTACTATGCTGATTTAAAGTAGTGGAAGTAGCCAGCTTTTTATTCCTGATCTCAGAGCTTTCCCTTCCTCTGGCCCCCGTTTTGTACACTACCTGTGGGTTTGAACTTTGCGGCCTTTACTGTGTCAAAGTTCATCCCTTCTCTACCCAATTTGCTTTCATCAAAGTAGTGTCTTTTGAAGTGACCAGATGATGTTGTGGGATAATCTTTTTGTACACTGTGAAGATGTGTCTGTTTTACCTCATCTGCCTAAGGCACCTTCTGATTGGTTTAATAAAAAGCCGAACAGCCAATAGGTAGGCAGGAGAGGATAGGCGGGACTTTTAGGCAGAGCCTAGTTAGGGGGAGGAATCTGAGAGGCAGGGGATTAGCCAGCTAGATGAGGAGGAGGTCGGAGGTAACAAGCCATGTGGCAGAATGTGGATTAACATAAATGGATTAATTTAAGTTTTAAGAGCTAGTTGGGATTAAGCTTAGGCTAGGGCTTTCATAATTAAAAAAACAACAACAAAAAATGTCTGACTTCCTCCACCTCTAGCTGGCAAATCCCCTGCTTCTCAGATTATATTATGTTATGTTATATATATTATATGTGTTATATTATATTATGTTATGTTAATCCCACTGAGTAAAAATATGACCACTAATACAATTTTGAGCCACATTTGAAGCAAGCTTTATTAAATACTGGCCAGGATGATGGACACTGGCTAGGTGCATCCCCAGGTTTTCCAGAGAATGACTGTGATTTATGTTAGTCAGGTCCTTTTAAAGGCAAGACTCACAAGGCTATGTACTTTCTGCCTTTCTCCAATTGGGGGCAAGCATGCATCCTAACATACTTCCTGTCTGCATCTGTCTGATCGAGCACATCCTGTGCAGTGGGGGCAACCAATCTTTGTTTACAGAAGTAAACACACGTGGCTTGTTATCTAACGGGAACAACAGCCCCAGCATTCCAGGAAGTTATCTGTCCTTGAGCGGGGCTTACAGGTTAGAGACATTTTTGTTTTATAGATCTCTTAAGCACCGTAGTTTAAATTTAAGACATAACTTTAGTCCTCACAGTTTGAAGACTGGAACCCCAAGGGAAGGGCACTATTGGGATTAATCACGGAGTCTATTTAAGGGTCAAAGGAATTTATTTGGGGGTAAACTCACAACCACGGGAGATTTATTGCAGGGTCTGGGAAAACCGAGCTACGTCCCACACTGATTGCTTGGTCTAAGATGTCAGCATCTCGAACCATGAGGTAGCCAAGAAGTATCCATGGTCTTTAGGGTCCACGGTGGCCCTGCCCCAGGGGCAGGTACCCCAAGGTCATAGGCAGGTGTAAGTTACAGCTGCCTCACTAGGGGCAGTGCTTCAGGGCACGGCTCAAACAGCCACCCACTACAGGGTACAGCATTCCCTGGGTGAGCTAAGCCGACAGCCGTAAGTCACCGCTTCCTGACTGCAGATACAGAGTGACCCGCTGCTGCCGGGACTGCCCTGTCACAGGACTGCGCCCTTGACCTGTGAGCCAATTAACCCCTTGCCCTCAAGTTGCCTTTGTCAGGCCTTAAAAAAAAAAAAAAAAAAGCAATAAATGTAACTAATTCAAAATCTGGAGGCAGAAGCAGGAACCAGGACAGTATGGAATGAATCCAATCCGGGTTCTGCTTTTACTCCGAGCTGGGTGGGCGCTGTGTCGTGGCTTAGAAAGAAAGGTGAAGTTAGGTGTTTTGATCAGGTGACTGGCTGCTGTGACCAATGGCTCGAGGGAAGAAGAAGTCAGGCACACGGGAGGTCAGGTTGGAGGTGACTGTGTGGGTCCACACGACGGGAGAGCAGCTGGGGCCATGGGATAAGTGGTCGGATTATAAACTTTGCATTAAAAACCCATGTTATTTCCTGGATGGTGGTGGCGCACACCTTTAATCCCAGCACCGGGGGAGGCAGAGGCAGGCGGATCTCTGTGAGTTTCAGGCCAGTCTGGTCTGTAAAGCAAGTTCCAGGACAGCCAGGGCTACACAGAGAAACCCTGTTATTTTATTTTTAAAAAGTCAGGCTTACAGATAAGTCTTAAGAATACTACAGCTGCCAGGCGGTGGTGGCACATGCCTTTAATCCCAGCACTCAGGAGGCAGAGACTGGTGGATCTCTGTGAGTTTGAGGCCAGCCTGGTCTACAGAGAGAGATCCAGGACAAGCTCCAAAGCTACAGAGAAACTCTGTCTTGAAAAACCGGAAAAAAAAAAAAAACCAAAAAACCCTACAGCAGATACCCGGCGCCCTTTCGTATGTTAGCCCCTACCGAATGAAAAGGAGAACATTGAGGATGTTGTGCCCAGGTTGCAAGACCCCCAAGTAAGACCACTACAGAGCCATTATCCGATGCAAGCACATAGAGGTTTTTATTAACAAAACAAGCAAGCTTGGTCCTCAGTCCAACATCGGACACAGTGGGTAGAGGAAAATGGCCCCCCAGCACTCACGTTAAGGGGTTTATATAGGAAAAGTCTACATGTAGCTTGGGATTGGGTGAGCAGAATAGGGGTGAGGCAGTTCTTTGACGTTACTGGCTGAACTACAAGCATGAGGCTACTGATGGCTACCAGGATTCAGGGTATCTTAGAGACATAAGTTTTTACTCACTGTGTCCTGCTTTTGTTGAGCCCAGGATATACACATTCAGATTTATTCTTCCAGTCCTACTGTCCTCTGAGTTCAACTTCTGGTCAGTTGAGTCCATTACTCCCCATATCTTGTTTTGCCAAGACCAGGATACATAGACTTATTGTCCCAGCCTTAAGTTCAACTTCTGATCACTTCTAAAACTGCTGGTCAGCAAATACCTTTGGAGGAGGGGAGGGGAAGGGGAAGCATCTCTCAAAATGGCTACTGATTTTTCCCTTTCAGTAGACAGAGAAAACAGCCAGAGGCATCTGGAAAGCTCCAGACTGCACAGGGCCAAGAGAGAGGGTGCAGAGAGAGGGAACCAAGAGAGAGCCAAGAACTAAAAGAGCATGTGGTCAGAATGGCTGGGTTATACAGGAAAAGAAGAAGCTGGGGGAAGGAAATCGAAACTCAGGGGCTGGAGAGGTTTAGGGGAGTGCTGAGAGGCGCCTGGTACTTGCAGTGCTGGGGGAGCCTGGTGGGCAGCGTCCGCTTTGATATGTTAATAAGCATCTCCGTCATTTTTCCTGAGTTTCTGCAGTGTACCTAACACTTACTTACAAATGTTTTGTCCCATTAGCTTCACTTTTAGCTCTTCCGTTATTTTTAGTATTATTACGTTTTTAAGTTAAAAACCTTGTTCCGTGTGTCTGTGCTGTATGTAGCGGACGTAGGTGCATGGGTCTGCTGTGGGCGTGTGGAGGCCAGAGAAGGATGTTTTCCTCTGTCTGGGGAGAGACAGGGTCTCTCACTGACCGTATCGCTGTTTTTCAGTTCACAGGGTCTCTCACTGGACATATTGCTGTTTTTCGGCTGGGCGAACTGGCCAGAAAAGCCCACTCGCCCCCCCTGTCTCTGCCACCCTGGGATGGTAGGTAGGTGTGCAGCCACGTCCAGCGCTTTGTGTGGGTCCTGGGGAGCTGAGCTTGGCCTTCCAGTTTGCACAGGAAGCACTCATGCACTAAGCCATCTTCTCCAGCCACTACTATTATTATTCACGTATTTACCTATGGGAACAACTTAAGAGGCATTTGCCAACACTGTCATTCACTCCTTGATACTTCAAATACATATTTGTTCCTAAGGACAAAGACGTTCCCTTTCATAACCTATTCATGTACTGACCAAAGTCAGAAATGCTGATACCAATTCAATACTATTTTCTACTTTATAATCTATATTAAAATCTTGCTAATGATTCTGGTGATGTCCTCAACAACTTATTTGTCTGATTATGTGGTAGTGATGGACTGAGCTAGGGCCTTGTGTGTGAGAGTAGGTACTTTCCTGAGATGCGTCCCTGTCCCTTCTGGATGACATTTTGACTTCATCTAAGCTTCTCCATGACAGTTAGTTGTCTCTGCTTTAGGATCTGGAAGAATATCCTCCCAACCTCACCTCCGTTTGTGCCTGTCTGACCTGAAGAGCACAGGCTGGTTGTTTTGTGGATTGTCCTTCATGTAGTGTTCCTGATGTTTTGCTCTTTTCCTGTGTGTGTCTGTGGGGTGGGATGGGTGGGGGTGGGGTGGGTGGAGGTGCACACAATGCCAGACAGCTGGAAGGACATCAGACACACTGCTTTTTCACTCTCTGCCCTAGCCCTTGAGACAGAGTCTCTTACTGTAATGGTTAGTATTGTCCTTCAACTCGACAGGCTCTAGAATTCCCTAGAAAACAGCTGCTGGCCACATCTGTAAGGAGTGTTATCTTGATTAGGTGGCGTGGAAAGACCCACCATAGATGCATCTGCGACAGACAGTTCCGTGGCCTTGGGTCCTGGGCCGCACAAAAGAAGGCAGGAAGTTGACTGAGCGGGACCGTTCATCTCTGCTTTCTGGCTATGGATGTAACGTGAGCAGCTGTCTCAAGCTCCAGCTGCCGAGACCCCACCATAGCTGGCCATGTCCTCCAGCTGTAAGTGGAGAACAGCCCTTTCCTTCCTTAAGGTGGCGCTTAGGTTGATGTCACAACAGGAAAAGTAACTGAGACTCTCAACTCAGCCTGAGCTTCTTCAGCTAGTCCCCTTCCTGTCCCCTCTGTCTCTGTCTCTCTCGCTCTCCTGAGAAGATGCTCTCGGTGTGTTGCCCAGGCTGGGCTCAAACTCCTGGACTCAAGTGCTGCCCCAGCCTCCCAAGTGGCTGGGACTATGGCCTGTGCACCTGACACACGTGTTTTGTGGAGGTCAGAGGTTAAGCTCTTTCACACTGGGAAAGCTTTACAACCCACTGGTTCAAGTAAGAGTGGAGGCTCAAAGCACTGGGTGAGAGGGCTCTGGTCAGACCTGTCATCCCAGCTCTTGGGAGGCGGAGGCAGGAGGATCAGAAATGCGGGCCGGCTTCACGTACGGGTGTGGGAACTGTGGTCCTCTGGGTCTGACTTGACCGTCACCATTTTGGGACAGGAGCTGCCACCAGCCTGAAGGTGAGGCAGGAACATAAGCGACACGTCAGATGGGTTGATGGACACAGAACCATGGACATTCTGGCGAAGAGGATGTGATGCTGTAAGGAACCACCCTCCTGGAGAGAGCGGCTGTCATCACTACCCCTGCCTGCCCCTGCGGCCTCTAGAGAAAAGAAAGATGTACTTAAGGGGGTCAGGCTTGATCGGCTGTCACCCAGAGTCACCTGCCACTAACTGTACAAAACTCCCAATAAAGTGCATTCGGTCATCAAGCTGCATGTGTCCAAGTCACTCTTAGGGCTGCTGGACTGTGCCAATTTGGAGAAGAACACTACATGCTTCTGGAAATTTCACATTCAAGCAGCAATGTCTTGAAGTATCTCTCACAGATAAATTTTATATGTTTTTCTTAAAAAAAAAAAATTATGTGTGAGCCAGGCAGTGGTGGTGCATACCTTTTAATCTTAGCACTCAGGAGGCAGAAGCAGGTGGATCTTTGAGTTTGGGTCTGCCTGGTCTACAGAGTGAGTTCAAGGGCAGCCAGGGCTACACAGAGAAACCCTGTCTCAAAAACAAAAACAAAAACAAAAACAAACAAACAAAAAATTATGTGTATGATGAGTGTGTGTCCATATGCAGGTGAGTGTGCACTCTCTTCGAGGACAATAGTATTCAGAAACCAAGAACTTGATGGCAGGTGCCACATCCATTTTGAAGTTAGAAATGGCAGAATTTATATCGTTTGGATGTGGGTATCAGAGGAGAAGAAGCCCTGTTTTCTCTAGTGTTCTAAAGATAAATCGGAACTATGTTGCTTTTCTGAAGTTGGGATTGGCAACACATGTCTATGATCCCAGAACTTGGGGACTGGAATAGGGTGATGAGGCTAGCCTTGGCTACTCAGTAGGACCCATCTCAAAAAAACTCTGTTTATGAAGTCTTCTTTGATACTCTCTAAAGCCAACTTTAGGCCCGGTTTTAATAATTATTATATAATTTATTCAAGCCCAGCAATCCCCAACCAGCACAGTTCAGGTCCTTGCCCGTGGACTCCAGCCTTAAGTAAACCCAGCTTTGAATCTCATCTCTAGCATCTACTGTTAAAAGAGTCTTGGGTGTCTTGTTTCTTGTCTTCTTCACTTGGAAAATTAGGGCAAAGACAGGTATGTCCCAGGACTGTTTCAGGGAGTAAATGCTGTGCGATTGGAACTTGTGTGCAGTTGAGCCCGGCCTGCCCCAAAGGCCCCCGCGGCCAGTTAGCGTCTTTTGGCTTGCCTTGTTCACCGCGTTCACCTTGTTCACCTAGACAGGCTTGCTGCAGGAGCTGGTGAGATCAGACAGAGGACTGTCCGCACTGGGCCCGGTTGAGGTTGAGTGTGGCCCACGCCGCTGCAACTCACTCCCTCAGTGTCTCCCTACTATGTGCCCCTGGCTCCTGGTCTCAGCACCTCTCCCCGACAGCCAGACAGCTGTCTCAGGTCCTGTCTGTTGAGTGCTGGAGCCTGATTCACCCTCTCCCTCTCTGTTCGCTCTTGAGTTGAGGGTCATTGATATTCAGCACACATTGGGAATGTACAACTCTTGTTCAATTCCATCAGCAGCCGCTTGAAATGACTGTGTAATAAGAGCCAAAAAGGTGTATATATGAATAGATATCAATTTATTAAGGGGTGCTATGGGAAAACAGACTCACGGATACAGGACAAGGTGGATCCAGTTGCAGAGTCCTTCCGTTTTGCTCTGAGGTGAATGGAACCAGCAGTCCGGTCTCTGACCACCACAAGAGAGAGAGGGCGCGGGCCTTCTCCTCAGCTTCAAGCAGTCATGTACCCAGAGAAAACCATGCCTCTATCAGGCCAGATACCCCAAGGTCAGTGGCAGAGTGAATTCCTACAAAATTCCATTTTGCCAAACACATTTTTTTGCCTCAGTGATTTTTTTCTCTCTTTAAAATTGGGAACTTTTGTTGTCTTTGAACATTTTTTTTCTATATTTTACACTTTTTGTAAAAAAAAAAATTATTTTGTATGTATGAGTGTTTTGCCTGTATATATATATATATATATATATATATATATATATGTACTATGTGCATGCCTGGTACCATTAAGTCAGAAGTGGGGGTCAGATCCCATAGAATTGGAGTTATAGATGGTTTTGAGCCACACGTGATTGCAGGGGTCCCCTGCAAGAGCAGCGAGCGCTTACTTAGTTCCTGAGCCATCTCTCTAGCTCTGTATTTATCCCTTTATTTAAAAAAAGACAAAAAAAAAAAAAAAA